CCCACATATATAAGAATTCAAAGAAATAACTTTGTTTTACATAACAATTAAATGATACTGAATGGCCAGATTGAACACAAGTATACTTGTTTTTAAATTTTTTTTTAATTTGGCCGAAACTGGTTTGGCTCAATGGATAGAGCGTTGGCTTGGGGACTGAAAGGTCTCGGGTTCGATTCCGGTCAAGGGCATGTACCTTGGTTGCGGGCATATCCCCAGTAGGAGGTGTGCAAGAGGCAGCTGATCGATGACTCTCTCTCATCGATGTTTCTAATTCTCTATCCCTCTCTCTTCCTCTCTGTACAAAATCAATAAAATATATTAAAAAACATAATAAAAAAATAAAATTTTTAATTTGAAAAAATACTCTGGCACTATACAATAAAAACTAATATCTACTTCTGGTTAGTGGCTACTATCATAGTTTTACTAGGACAAATATTTGGAATTCTACCCACAAATATATTCATTACAGTAAGCTCTTGTCCTTTCCATTTTGAGAAATATTGATATAGCGTGACCTCCTACTAAGAAATACTAGGTATAATCCCCAAGTATATTTGAAATTTAAGTATATTTTCTTTTATGGCTTGATCACAATCATCAAATTAAAGAACAGAATTCTTCATTTTCAAATAGGTAAACATTTTCAGTTAATCTTAGACAAGAAAAAAGTGATCTTTACATAATTTGTTAAAAATTGGTCCTTGTTTCCAAGTTAATATTCAAGTCTACAATTCATAAATAATATATCTCAACATTTTCTGAGATCAATAACTAAAACACTATATCCATACTAAAAAAAAAAAATAAGTCCCTTTAGAAATGTCATTTTTGTTTAGATTATTGATCCTATTCTGTTGTCAGAGCCAAAGTGTTTAGCAAGACTATTTCAGGGACTTGGAAACGATGCTTTTATTGGCAGTGAGACAGCAGATTACCCAGATCTCAAATGAGGAGACAGAGTGGCCAGGTCTACATCACTCCAACATTTGATTGATGTGCGGCTCAGATGGGGAGATATGTTGATGGATGAGGTTGTCTTAAGCAGTAGAGTTATCTTACTCCGGCCAAACATTTTAGTTGAATGGCCTATTAAAGTTGGCTGTGCCAAGGCCACTGGAGAGATTGATAAGTAACTAAAGTCATTAAATGTCAGATTCTCTAAAAATGTATGAATATATATTCTTTTCTCATAGCTTGACTTCTGGTTTCTAAGAAACATCCATCCAAGTAAAATTGGGGGTGGGGAAAGGAGGTAGTATGGACATTGGGAGATTATATGCAAACAAAATCATCTCAAAATACTAAGAGGAATTTTTTAGGGGGAACATTAATTTAAAAAGGCTAACTTAGCCAAAACCAGTTTGGCTCAGTGGGTAGAGAAAGGATAGGCCTGTGGACTGAAAGGTCCAAGGTTCTATTCAGGTCAGGGCATGTACCTTGGTTGTGGGCACATCCCCAGTAGGGGGTGTGCAGGAGGCAGCTAATCGATATTTCTCTCTCTCGATATTTCTAACTATCCCTCTCTCTTCCTGTCTGTAAAAAAATCAATAAAATACATTTTTTTAAATAAAAGGCTAACTTAAATTTGAATTATGTAGGATAGTTTCCTTATACATCAGGATCTCTGAAGAACTGAAAATTTGCTCACAGTTTATAAAGTCTTCCCTATATCTACTCTATAGGATATAGGCTAATAGAGAAAAATACTGGATTAAGGGTCATCGTAATTGGGTTTCTGTATAACCTTCACTATGGCATCCAAACTTTTGGAGTACCGATTTTCTCGACTTATAAATGAGAATGAGTAGATGGTCTAAATTCTCTCTTATAACTACTAAATTTTGCTTTTCAGCTCACTACCCCAGACCTCCAATTTTATGATCAGGAATACTTTAAACTTACTGAGAAGCAGTTAAACACAATGCTAAATACTCAGTCTCTAGAATTACACAGACTTATTTTAATTTTATATTTTTCACATACATGTATATGGCCTTCTTCATACCATTATTACTTAATATTTATTGAGTTTTGAGGTCACTATCTATAAAATGGAGATGGTAATAGTACTCAACATGCAAGTTGTTCTTAAGTTTTATTTTGTTTTACTTGCACTCATTATCTTTTATGTAACTTGTAAGAGTAGTGATTGTTGTCTGTTTTAGTCATTGTTTAACCCAGTATCTTAACACAGAATAAAGGCACTCAATATTTATCAAATGAATAATTAAACAAAACAATGTATATAAACTGCTTAGCATAATAATGGGCATATAGTATTTTTTAAAATATATTTTATTGATTTTTTACAGAGAGGAGGAGAGAGGTTCAGAGAGCTAGAAACATCGATGAGAAAGAAACATCGACAAGCTGCCTCCTGCATACCCCCTACCGGGGATGTGCCCGCAATCAATGTACAAGCCCTTGACCAGAATCGAACCTGGGACCCTTCAGTCCGCAGACCGACGCTCTACCACTGAGCCAAACCGGTTTTGGCAATGGGCAGATAGTGTTTGATAAATGATCTTATAAATGGTATTATCAATACTCTGAGTGCCACTTCACTATGAAGAAGCAGGAATGAAAGACGTAAAAAGGCTTCAAAGAAAAGATGAAGGGGACTGAGGACCATACTGTTGTTTCCAATATTTGAAAAAGTATTGTATGTTACTTTCAAAAAAATAATATGATTCAATGGGTGGAAACTTCAGGGAGTTATTTATTAATTCAGAATAAGGAAGGCTTTCTAAAAAAAATTGCTCAAAGATGGAATGAACTGGTGCTCAAATCAATGTTCAATTATTAGCCAATCAATTAATGTATTAAGAAGTCTAATAAAAGGTTATCAAACTATCACCTATGCATTAAATAATTTGAAGAGAAGTTATTATAAATAGCATATACAGAATAAATTTTAAAAACAAAGGAAACAATTAATTATTTCCTTCTGGTGCTGTTGACAATAAAAATACAAATGGAAAGTAACAAAAAAGGATCAATCAATTTTCTTTGTGTACATGCAATCAAAAAACATTTAGTCATTGACAAATTAGGACTAAAAACAAATGCTACTGATTTGTCTTATTGATGTTGGCCAAAAAGCAGACAGGAGGCACAAAATCCCTTATTCCCTATCAGAAAGGCAGGATTGTTTAAGGCCAACCTTTTCTTTCCTGTTCTTTTACCGCCGTTGCAGCACTGCAATTTGGAATTTTAAAATATTGGCAGTGGAAATGCTCCTGGGTTGTAGAGAACTAACTGGTGCATCACTCTTGCCTGCTGGGAATGATTTTAGATAAAATGCATTACACTGATGAAAAAGGAATCTCACTCAATATCACTTTTATGAAGGATAGTAGCCTCACATTAAAATAGTACCATCAATCTACTGCCATCAGGTCAGACAGAAAAGAATTAGGTACATAAAATGGCTATCATAAAATATAGCCAAGCAGGAGCTATGTCTGATCATAGAAGGTCATTTAAGCATTTGGAAAACAAAGAAACCATGTTGTTTTAAATTGATTTTTTTGTTTTGAGAGAGAGAAAGAGAGAGAGAAGAGAGTGCAACATCAATTGGCTGCCTCCTCCAAGTCTCCTATTGAGGATCAAGCCCAAAAGTGGAAACTTGAGCTTGTGCCCTTACTGGTAATGGAACCAGCCACCTTCCTTTCAGCGCACAGGATGACACCCAACCAAGTCACACCAGCCAGGGCCATGTTTTTTGTTTTATTATTTTTAAATGAGCTATTAAAATTAGTAACAAGTAAGTTGGCTTTCTATTTTGGACAGTCATATTGAGGAAGATGCAGTGGTTCTGAAGGTTTTCAATAATTTTTAAATTGGTTGCCTATTGAGAAAAGATATGTGATTACAAGATTACTTTTTCAAGGTATAAAACAGTGAGTGAACTGCAATCACATTCCAGCTCTGGTGTCCTCTTACGATGGCAATAGTTCATTTTATGTGACAACTTGTCTGGGCCATGAGGGGTTCAGACATTTATTTGGTCAAATATTATTCTGGGTGTGTCTATGAGGGTGTTTCTAGATGATATTGACATTTGTATTCATAGACCGACTAATGCAGATTGTTCTCCCTAATGTGAGTGAGCCTCATCCAACCAAAGATCTGAATGAAACAAACAAACAAACAAAATAAACAAACAAACAAACAAAAAACAGAGCTAGAGGGAACTCTCCCTGTGTGCCCACATGAATTGGGACATCGGTCTTTTCTGTTCTTCAAATGTGAACTGAAACATTGTCTCTGCTTAGTCTTAGGGCTGCCAGCTATTGGACCAAAACTACATTATTGGCTTTCTTAGGTCTTTATAAATATATAAATGCGAGAAGAACCCTAACTTATACACTGATTCAACATCAGCAGGGAATGAACTGAGTTGTGCCAACCAAATGGATTATGCAGCTAATTAAAGTCAATCCTATAGAAGTTAATCTTTTAGAAACTTGTCTGGGTGATCAGGCAAGGTAATAACACTTTTGTTATATAAAATAATGAGCCAACTTTCCAATGCTTCTCAATATTAGTTTTGAAAGCAATTCCTCACTTTCAAACCCAAAATTCTATGATTCTATTATTATAAAACAAGCTTAAGTAGCCATTCTCAAAATCAATTTCAAAAGCAACAGCAAAAAGTTTCAAATGTCTTTACTTCCCAAGAGAATTATGCAAGCATTTATGAATCCATCTCGTTTCCTTAGAGTCATTTTTTTGGAGGACTTAAGTAATCATCATCTTTATGCGTTTATTCCTGTTGTCCTCATTAATCAGCACATGGCATATCTACTTATTTTCCATGATTATTTCCAGGCTTTATATTTAAACTCTACTGTGTTTTATATTTAAACTCTACTTCTACTACACAGATTAAGCTTCCAAAGCAACTATCCTTGTGCATCTAAAGATAAACTTTGATGCTGCCAAATTCCTGGTATTACCTCCATGTGAATTTTCTTATAATTGTCACTCACCTGCCAAGAAGCAGAAATTCTCCAGCTAGACCCAGGCGCCTCATAGCCATCAGCAGTCCTCGCACGGTCATGCCCTCACAGAAGCAGGCTACAACCCGGGCCTTGGGCAAGTGACTCCTGAGCTTCTTCAGCAGCTTATCGAAACTCTGCTCCCCCGCGTTGCTGTAGATTTTGTAAGAGTGAGCAATGCAGATTCCTTCCTTGGCTGACATATCTTTGAAAGCTTCCATTCCACTTTCTCCGTAGTTGCCTGTGTGAAGACAGATAAGCAGAGGGGTAGTAAAATGGGAGTATTGGATTCATTGGTACAATTAGAAGGCAGTAGCTTGAAGATTACTTGGTGGTCTTGGATTTGTAATCTGAAGACCTGAATGAGTTTTTGCTCTTTTACTGACTTGCTCTTTTGGAGCAATTTACAATAAAACCACGTTATACATATATCCATTGAACTTTTTCTAAATCCTCATTCAAGGATATGCTTTTATTAAGAGAGAGAGAGAGAGAGAGAGAGAGAGAGAGAGAGAGAGAGAGAGAGAGAGAGAGAGAGAGAGAGAGAGAGATGTGTGAGAGAAACATCAATTAGTTGCCTCCTGTATGCGCCCTGAGTGGGGATGAAACCCACAGTCTGAGTATGTGTCCTGACCAGAATTTGAACCTGAAACCTTTTGTGTAAAGGACAATGCTCCAACCAACTGAGTCACTCGACCAGGGCTGTATTGAACTTTAAAAAAATTTTCACTGAGATAGAGAATAATATTAAAAGTACAAGTAATTCAGCTACCCTTTGATTCAAAAAAGCTTATATTCTAGTGTGAGATGATGAGAGAGATTTATCTATTTTTCTCTTTTCTCTTACTTTCCTTTGCTTCTCATATGATCATCTCACCCCACTGATTTAGATTTCAATATTTCAATATTATATATATATTATATGATATACAAATACCTTATGGCATATTATATTTTAGAATATTATTCATATTTTATTAATAATCATGAGAATTTGTGGTTTTGTCCCAACTGAAAAATTCAGATCCTGGAGATTTTAGTAATGTGAAAGTTAAATGTATAAGCTTATAAGAAGCATTTAACGTTTCATTCTATAAAACCATAGGAAAGTTAGTTATATTAGGGAATAATTGAAAATTTCTGAAAAATTTAGAATTAGTGGCAGACTTTTAAAATTAACAGAAAATGGGGATAAATATTGACAATCTACTGTTTGCTAGGAAGTGTAAGACTTTTGTATATGTGATTGCATTTTACTTTCACATTAATACTTTGAGATATGCATACAACATCCATGCTACAGATTTAAAAACAGGTGAGGCAGTTTGGTTTATACTCGCCCAGAGTTTTACATGCAGTAGGTGGAAGGCTGCACTCCATTCACAGATCTGCATTCTTCTATGGCCGACTTATAAAAGAGTCAGAAACCCAATTATATCTGCATTTCTCCTTCCCAGTTAAATGCCATTATGCTTCAATTTTAGATACTTTTTTGAGCCTTTTAAAGCTCTATAACTCGGACTGGGCTCATTTTTTGAGTTTTCAAGAAATTAGATGGGTGAGGGGCATTTATTTGAAGAATACAGGAAATTATTATGTGACCTGAGGGAAATTTAAAGATATAACTGGCCTAAAAATCTACCACACCTAGGAACTGGGAATTTCATCAGAGGTAGATATCAAATGAATAAGAGAGTACAAGGCATTCATTTGCATAAGTTTTACTATATGACTATATTAGATATAACTATATCTGTACAACATTTTTAATTTTGGAAAGTCAGTTCATATACATTACCTCACTGTTCCTTACACCAAGTCTGTGATAAAGGTAACATATTTTTCCCTCACAGTAGATACATGTGAAGTCACATTTAGCAAGTAGATGGCAGAGTCTTGGTTTGAATATATATCTTCTCCCTCCTAGTCTTATATGTGCTCCACAGGAATCTCTGCTAAGGAGACACTTGACATTGAGGTTGGATTTTTGTGCAGTTTTAAAGGGCAAAGTAGAGCAGGCTATCTTAAGTCCCAGCTAAAAATGCAAGTGTGCCAGCTGCACCTCTCCTTCTCCAGAAATAAAGCAACAAGGACCCTCTATGGTAGGGGTGTCGAACTCAATCAGAGAAAGGGCCAAAATCTAAAATCCAGCCTAAATCTCGGGCCGAATGGTTTACTGAACAGTCATAAACTGTCATTGTGATGGAAACGCAGCGGAGCGCAGTGATGACAGCGCGGTGCAGGCCACATTGCAAGGCCTGGCGGGACAGATTTGGCCCGTGGGCCTTGTGTTTGACACATGTGCTCTATGGTGATGGCAGGTGGGCAATGCAGTTATTTTGCAATTAAGAAAGTTTAAAAGCCTCTCTGAAAAATGTGCCAAGGGGCCTAAATTACTAGTTTTACACTAATCTGAGTAACCTGTTTTCTGATTTATTTTTTAGACAATTCTGTTTTCAACTGACTTGAACTTAATGTTTTGAGTAATGCTGGGGCATTTGCATAAATCAAGTTAGATGTATAGCAATTGTGATTACACTAATGGAAATCCTCAATATATTTACAGTTAAAACAAGAAACTATGCCAGACAAATTCATAATCTTTATCTCCTCTGCTGACAGCTTTATTTTAACATTGTTTTCTTTATTCAATAAGTTATATGGAAGCAGCCTGTATATAGGGAGGGAATTTCATTATTAGGAAGTTCTGAGTTCTAATTCAGCTTGAACAATCTCTCTAAATCTCCATTTTCTCACCTGAAAATCAGAGATAATACTGCTTAACATACAGGCATTTTGTGTATTACATTTAACATTTGTAAAATAGCTAACAGGTAGCCTGAACCCAATCAATTTCACCCATTGGGATAGTAAAAAAAAAAAAATATATATATATATATTTTTTTTTTTCTAGGCATAGTTATATATATATTCTAGGCATAGTTAAGCTGCTCTCTCTTGGAAAGTCTAAAACAAATAATATGGCAAGTGGCATTAGTACTGAACATTAGACTAAAGAATAAGCTTACTAGGAAACATGATTTTATCTGATCAAAGCCCAAGTGGTACACTTTAAAATTTAAATGGGAAACAATCTTAATAGACATGAGACATAAAAATTCTGCAGAATAATATTTTTAATTTAATAAAAAAAAGCCCATTGAATGCTGGGGATTAAAAACAGGAATATATGTTATCTAATAAAATTGGAAAGACTGAAATGTTGAGATTTTCAGTAGTGGATAAAATGACTATTCTGGAATTGCACAATTTTAAAAAGGAGAAACTTTAAAAAAGTTCATAGGCTTCTCAAAAAAAATTAAGTAGATTTCAAGCAAGGTACAGAATGAGGACAAATCTGAGAAAGCAAAGATTTACTGCTTTTTCAACAGTGAAACAAAAATTATTGAGAAAGAAAGATACAGGGTAGAATATCAAGCTAGCCTTTGGCTTCATTTTAAACAATTGGTAAAAGTAAGAAGGAACCAATCAGATCTTCCTCTTTAAGTAGCAGAGTGCTGTGGCAGTATTATAACAGAAATGTAATCATACCCTGACTTGACTTAGCTCACACTAAAGTTGCAATGATGCAAATTTCAAATATTAATTTATTTTCATTTTTGTTAATCCTCATTTGAAGATATTTTTTCCATTGAGAGAGAGACTGTGAAGAAAGAGAGAGAGGAGAGAGAGAGAGAGAGAGAGAGAGAGAGAGAGAGAGAGAGAGAGAGAGAGAGAGAGGAGAGACATTGATGTGAGGTGCATTGATTGGTTACTCCTGCAGGAGTCCTGATCAAAGCTGGGGAGTGAACCTGCAACCCAGCTACATGCTCTTAACCAAAAATTGAACCAGTAACTCTTTGGTTCATAGGCTGACACACTAACCAATTAGCAACACCAAACTAGGCTCAAATACTGTTTTTTAACTTTTGTAAATCCACAAAAATACAATATGAAAAACTCATCATGCAATAGTATATGTATGTGATCGATATTTACTATGTAAATTAAGAGTAAGATAATAGCTTGGGAGTTGGGGACAGGAAGAGCTGGTGGAAAGGGGAAGGTATTAAAATCCTCTGTTCCTGATTTGGAAGTAATATACAGGAAACAAAAGAGAGATGATTAAGGGGATTATTTCAAGCTAAAAAAAAAATAAGAAGGAACTAATCTAATTAAGAGAAGAAATGAGAAGATGTGCGAATCAAGAGATGCCTATTGTTAGTAAATTTAAAAGGTAGGAATTTAAAACGTAGTGTATTCATATAGAAAGGTAAAAACATAGAATTTGCTTTTTGCTTGAAGCCCTTCTACACTATTTAACTTTGAAAAATATGAAAGTACAAGTTTGATGGAAAAATTTAAATAACAGGGTTGAAGCTGTTAATACTGGAGAGTATTATAAATATGGATAATTTTAAATGAAGTGACAAGTGAACATCAACGAATAAAGACATTTGTCATGTTGATATTGAGGACAAAATTTTCCTATAGTATCCCTGAATCAAATGTAAAAAGGTAAATATTAATTTATAATTTTTAGATTTCCTCATATGTTTCGGTGAGATATACCAACAAGCAATTATTCTTATATTATCTTTGTAATGAAAATAACTAGGGAGTTTTCAGTAATTTTATAAATTGCATTATTATAGAGCAAATTTAATCAAATATTTCAAGCAATTACTGAGATATCACTTTGTTTTGGTTCTGAGTTTCTATCACATCAGTTGGTTTTGGCTACCGTGTTTTTCAAAGATGCATAATATTTTATCTCACTTCAGCCATAGAGTGAAAGTTTAATGTATGAAAATGTAAAACAGGACCAGGATTATTATTTTTTTCTTATATTATGAAACACAGTAATCCTGAACCCATGACAGCATGATTAATTCACATTTATTCCAAGAGTAGATGCTCTAATTTAAGACTACATGAGTCATTTCTAGTATTCCAGAAACTTTAAAAATGAGGTGATATCCACAAGATGTCACAGATATGAACAAATGAAACAAAAATAAAGCAAAGTCCAGTTAATTTTTCTTCCTCCTATCAAATGACCATCTACTTACTGTTTCTTCAATATAAAGCTCAAGGGATTTTTCTGCAAAGTCTTCCCTAACCCTCCTATGCTCCCCTCCTTTGTGCCTCATTTGATCGTACAATGGACTATTGCCTTTACTTCTCCATGTTCTTACTAGACTGTATATACCTTCAGAACACGAATGTTATTTACTTTTG